CCTAAAATCCCAGCCACTTGGGAGACTTGAGACGGGAGGATTGCAGGTTCAAAGCCAGCCTCAGCAACAATGAGGCTCTAAGTAACTCAGTGAGACCCTGTCTGTAAATAAAATACAAAACAGGGCTGGGGGTGTGGTTTAGTGGTTGAGTGTCCCTGAGTTCAATCCCCAATATAAAAAAAAAAAAATAGATAGCTTTTAATATTTAAAAAAGGCAAAGCTATAATCCCACTTTCCACTCAATAAAGCAGCCCATAGGATTGGAGTGTTTTACATGGTTAACTAGTGGTATGTTGACATATGTCTTTCTAAAGCTTCAGAATTTATATATTTATTTACATATCTATTTATTGATTTATTTTGACATGGAAAATGAATTAATGGTGATGATGAAGGCAATTATCTGTTCTGAAACATCATGAAAATGTTTTAAAGTAATAAACCGCTCTATAAATTTTACATAGTTGTATCATAAAAATTATTAGTATACAAGTTGCAAGATGGGGAGAAGTATAATTATGATGGTGCTTATGAATTTATTGGCTCCCCTGGGTGCTCCTCATGATCCAAGGCATTTCACCATTTGGTCCCAACCAGCCCTTCCAACGTCTTCCACTGCTCTCTAGGACACCAATGCTCCCCTTCTACTTCCATCAAGTTTGTGTCATTGGTGATGGTGAGTGTCATTGTACATCCCAGCTCCAACCTTAGTGAGGGCTACTCACTATTGATAAATGCTATCCTCGCTAATGACAAATGCACAGCAGGTTACCCAGACCCCACCCTTCTTCAGGTCAACCAAGGTCATCTGCCTGCATGCAGCCTTCCCTGGTTCACAGCAACCTCTCTCAGCCTTCCACTCCAGCACCTCTTAGGACCAGGACCACCAACCAGGCTCACTGTTATGCATGTGCACCTGTCAGGATCCCCATCGGAGAAGCAACGTATACTCAATAGAGATGATTAGAGGGAATTTAATTAAGGACTGTTTATAGAAGTGTAGGTAGCATAGAAAGAAAAAAAAAAAACATCAAGGAAGGACGACGAGGCACTTGGAACAGGGACAAAAGCAACCAAACATAGTTAAGAAGGCTTTACTATCCCTAGATCTGAAGGATTTGATGGAGGAAGCAGTTACCATTAGCCAGGGAGAATGGTTTAGCTTAGGAGAGAGACTTTTGACACAAGGTATGGCCTTGTCAAAAATTCAGCCACCAGCAAGGGGCCCGGCAGAGAGGGAGCCAGAAAGGGTCCCAATATCCTGCTAATCTCCCTATTGGATGAACCCAGTGGGTAGGCAATCCAGTTGTTGCAGTCCAGGGAATTGATCCTGCCCTGCCGTGACCGGGAGATGGATAGAGAGAAGGAGAGCTCAGGTTCTACATCTTGTTGCCTCCATAAAATACATTATAATTTCCATTTGGCATCCACCATTTGTTAATCAAATACTGACTTTCTGGATCCCCCAAGTCTGAAGCAGGACACGGAATGAGTGTCTCCCTCGTGTCTCTGAGCAGACAGGGTCTGGGCCCCTGAATCTTCTATCATCTGTGTGGAAGATTGCCTTACACGTCCCACAATGATAGTTCTGTTTTGTCTGCTCTTCCCTGCTTGATAAGCACTAAAAACTAATCCAGGGGCGTCTTTAATTTACAAAGTACCAAATGCCATCACTACTTCATTCCCTTGGCTGGATTAGCATACATTTGCATAGCTGTTATCCAATATCACTGAGGCATACCTCTATCTGAGAAAACCAATTAGTAATGAACACACTTAACCACACCTAATCCACTTCATGTTGCTAAAAAGAGAGAGAAAAACAGCCACTTTTTGGAGAATGGTTTTGCATGTTTTATGCATTGCTTCTTTTTGGTGGCAGATGTGACCAAATATGAAGAAGGCAATTTATTAAAGAAATATAGATTTTGAAAATCATTTTTTAATCAACCATTTTATTTCAGGCTATAGGAAAAAAAATAGTTCAGTGAGATAGTATCTAATAAAAAGAAACAATATATATCTTTTTATTCTAGCTTCTCATAAAAACTAATCAATAAAAACATTGAATCTTACAAAGACTTAGTAAAAACACTCCCCTCCTTCCATCCCCATTTAATCCAGAACTGTATGTGTAGTAGTACTGTATAAATCAATGAATGAAATTCTCCAACCGTTCCTGTTCATTCATTCTGATGTACAATAACCGTGACCCTCAGGGTCCTCATTGCTAATCCATACTCCTCCACTGAATGGTGATCTCCTACTCTTTTCCCCATTGAAGAAGGAAGCAGCTGAACAATCCTCTCTGTCCATGTGGTAAATTTCCAATTGATCCCCCACAGCCTTCATAAAATAATAAAAGGAGTCATTGCCTCCTTGATAAACCCACTTACAAAGGGAAAATTTTCAAATATGAATCCATTTGGCTTGTTTCCTAATCCTCCACATCAATGCTATTTCCACCCCTCACTCCTCATCTCAAAAAAGCCTAAGGTCAGGGACCTGGTTCATCTTGCTTACCCATTGATTCCCAGTGGTCATTGGTGGGACAGTGGGATAGTGCTCAGCATGATAGGAGCTTGCCTGCTTCATTTCCCAAAGTGAACAGAACTCTTTTGTGTCTCACTCACAGTGACAGCATCACTCTAAGGATATAATACCCCACTGGTAGAAACCTATCCATAAATTATAATGATTGTGACAATGACAATAGTAAAATGCTTAACTGTCATGCTCAGTTCTATGTGTTTTAATGCATTAATGTAACCCTTGAAATAATCCCATAAATGTGCAATGAGACAGGAGCCTCTATTATTCTCATTTTACAAATGAGGAAGTGAAGGAAGGGAATAATTATATCATTTCCCCTAGATTATAGGTCAAATGCGAGAGGGAGCTGATCTATGAGCCCAGATAGAAAGACACTGAACATCGAACTAATGCACCTGTTTATCCTCTTATTAGAAAATGACAGGGAGTTCCTCCCAGGCATTAGGTACGATGTTTGCATTTCAAAGAAAGTGAGTGAATAGTCAAGAGTCCTTTTTTAAAAAGTTTTGTAAATGTATGAACTTAGGACTTTTGTGAGTTCTTCCCAATCAGATGAGTCATACAAATATCAGGCTCAGCTGTCTTTTCCAACACTGATAACCCACTGCAAATGGTTTGTTGCTTTTCTGAGCACTACCATTGACTTTCCACTGCTGTGTTTTTATCAGAACCCACTGGGTTCAGGATGGAAGGACAAAGTGGAGATGTAACACTAGGTGATTAAAAAATAAAACAGGAGTCTGACTGGATCCAGAGAAGTGAGAAAACCGGACAGGTGGTCTTTTCTTCACATCATAGCCTCTATTTGGCGTGTAACTTACAGAAGATTGATGGCTTTTTCTTCAGGACGTTAGATGTCTATTTACAGGAAGTTCTCCCAGAAAGCAACACAGGCATCATGAGGATGTAATTTCTTCTGTTGCTTTGCCCAGGGTTGAGAGGATGGTGAGAATGAGGGGAAATGAAAAACCCCAGGACAACAGAAGAGGTGAGAAGTGGAGGAGAGTGAGTCAGCACAATCTGTTCATTATTATTAAAACACTCTTTTCCCTGTAGCACTAGCCTGAGTTTTACTTGCTTTTCCACCATCTTTACCCTTTACTTTCTTGGGAAAGCATTATTTATTCACGGGCACAAGGCTTCATTCTCTTTTTCTTTTTAAATGTTGAAGGAAGCAATGAAATATGTAAAGTTCTTCAAGTGTCACTGCTGAAAAGTCAACACCGCGTTAGGAAGATGAGTTTTATCAGTAAATAAACAACACTCAAAGAGGAAAGGAAAGAGAAGAGCTTTATTTAAGTTCTGTAAAGTTCAAAAATGAAGAAAAAAAAAAGCTCACTTTAAGTCCACAAATAAACATTTCTAAATGAGTATTCACATATTCTATGCTACATTGATATAGATGTTTAAACACACACAAGCTAGCTGGAAACATTACTATCTCCCCAAATAGGAGGAACACCACCTCCCCTCCTCCTCAGCATCAGCTTACTTGTCTAAGTCAGTATGTCACAGATTTTTCTGCCAGAACATTCCCGACAATGGAGGAGAGCTTGCAATCCTTCAAATGTTCCTCCGTGTGTCCTATACCACTCACTACAAGTATACTACTTTTTGAAAGTTCATGTTTTATATGAATAATTCATGCAAATTCAGCATTCTGTCCTATGATAGAGAGCTCATATTCTCCTAAGTTAGTTGAGTAGAACTAATATTTCAAAAAGATTATTATATCTACCTATGGTTTTTCTTCCACAGCACAACTGGGTAGGAGAATCCCAGTTCAGAAGCACAGCCTACTGGTAGTCTAGTGGAATATTTGACCACATCTCTATTCAACACACAAGCATACAAAGTTATATATGATGGAGGACCACACAAATAAAAGATACCTGCTTGCAACTGGCAAATATATTTGTTTGCACTTAATTACTTCTGCTTTAACCTATTAAAAAAAAGCAATGCTAAGAGGCAATAAACTTATCTAAAAGTGACTATCAAAAACAAAAAAAAGTGAAGCAAAGTTAGCCTCATAAACCAAGAGACCTAGAGGTGAATTATCTAAGTTCCTCTTTCTAGCAAGTCTGATTAACACACTTATCTTTCCAAGTTTCTCAAACTTGTACCATTTTCAAAAACTCTATTTACTTCCTGAAACCAGCTGTCACTAGCAAAGTGCTCCTTATCTTCTAGCTAAAACACTCCACGTGTCAGTCTATTACATAAAAAGAGCAAAATAGCTGACCAAGTCTTTCCCCTTACACCCTTGCTATCAATAGCCCACTTTCCTGACCTTCCTTGTGCTACATACAGGAGCCACTGAGTGGGTATTATTTTTCTCAAAGAATCCAGGAAGGTACTAAATAGGAAACTAAAATAAGACAATATCTGGATGTTCAGAGACACTCAGATACTTTTACCCTAACCACAGCAGAAGATCCCTCTACTTTACACAATCCCTTCACTCTTTATTATCATGCTTCAAAGAAAAATCACACACTTCATGTCAGAAACACAACTTTGAAAGCAATAAACATGAGTCTGCACCTGTACTCTTGCCCCGATCTCTTCTATAGCAGTTGCCTGCTTATAGGTCCGGATCCTCAAGCTAAATGGTGAGATCCTGGAGAGTAAGAGGAGTCCCATTGACTCATCTCTGCATCTCCAGTCTCGCTTAATGGGTGTGTATTGAAATGGCCATTCCTGACTATTAAGTGGACTGGTCTTCCCTTCTCGTTTCTAATCAGACTCAAAGATCTCCCTGTTTTGCCTGTGCTCATGTGCATTCTTCACTAAAATTGAGGAGCCTGGTGTGGGGAATAGGAGTTTGCAAAACTAGTGACAGTAATTACTGCTAAATGGTCATGAAGGAACACGCCAAGTTTAAGAGGCCCATCACAAAACCTACTATGTTGCGAACTATATGGTAATGTAAACTTATTACTGATAAGGTAGAGAGTGAGAATGGTTGTAAGAAAACATGGGTCCCTGATGAGATAATATATGCAAAGTTTAACATAATGTCTCCGGCACCTAGTAAGAGCGCTATACCTGTCAGCTGTTACTGTCATACCAGTACCTTGTGAACACATTCTTGTCTTTGAAAATTCCTTAACTTTCCTTGTTTATTTCCCCTCACCATGATACTCCAGGATTAATGACATAGTGTTTTTAAAGTGTTTTGAAATCCCTGAAGTGTTATAATCAACCCAAGTACCATTTTATTTATGCAAACTGTGTCTACCCAGCGAGTCCACTTAAATATCTAGGATTGGGAACTGCTGTCTCATAAGGCTTAATAAATGATTCCCTCTGGCTCTAAAAGCAAGTACTTTTTCAATGACAATGGGAGGGAAAGCAAAGGAATTGCTTTGTGGCATCTGTTGTGTAATGCTCGTCGAATGGCACATCTCGATAAATGCATGAGGGTTCTTGGAGAGTTGCAGCATACGGTGAAGAGAGAGTGGTAGAAATCAAAGTATCTCTGTAAAGGAAGACATGACAGGTTAACGTTACAAATATATGAATAAAAATCAACAGTGATGCATTCAATCCCCACTTTATACCTGAGGGCAGCCTTCTAGGGTCTCTGATGTTGAGACAAAATTAAACATCAAGCTGAGATGAGGAGGTAAGAAGGAGGTACATAGAGAGCCAGGAGGAGAAATAATACTGCACAACTCAGAACCCAGGAAATGAGAGAAAACATACTCACGTGAGATATCTGGATCTTTTCAAATTAATCTAATATTATTGCATGTCCTTTATGTGTCTTGTGTGACCTCCAAATTCATATATTTAATGGGAGTAGAGGATTAATGAAGCTCAGTCAAGTGAAGCAACTTTTAAAAGTAAAAGAGCTTAATAAGTAGCAGAAAACAATTGCACACCTAAGCCATCGACCTCTAAGTCCAGGGAACTTTGCACTCTATACTTGATGCCTCTCTGTGTGTTGAGGACAGTCTGTGATTTTAAAAGCAAGGACAGGGTACTCTGGGGAAGGACTGTTTTACAGAGACAGCTAAGTACATAAGTCTACAGGTGAACGTGGCTCTGCCAGGGGCTTTCTGTATGACTCATAGCTTGTTTGCAATACTCCATTTCCTGACTAACAATAACTACATCAAGGCATTTAAAAGTTAGTAACATAATCCACAGACACTACTAAAATCCAGAGTATCATCAGAAAGTATTTTGAAAATTTATACTCCAATAAGCTAGAAAATCTGGAAGACATGTAAAAATTCCTAGAGACATCCTACCCTCCCAAATTGAACCATGAGGATATAGAAAACTTAAACAGACCAATATCAAGTAATGAAATTGAAGCAGCTATCAAAAGCCTTCCAACAAATAAAAACCCAAGACTAGGCGGATTCTCAGCTAAGTTCTACCAAAACTCTAAAGGAGATGAATACCAGTCCTCCTCAATAGAAAAGGAGGGAACACTGTTGAATTCATTCTGTGAAGCCAGTATCACCCTGATACCAAAACCAGACAAAGACACATCAAGGAATGGACACTTCAGGCCAATATCCTTGATGAACATAGATGCAAAAATTCTTAATAAAATATTGGCAAACTGCATACAAAAACACATTTAAAAGGTAGTGCACAATATACATCTAAAAGTATTCCCCACTTGTTTAAATGGGTGAATAGGAAAATTTGTTATAAAACAGCAAATCAATCTCCTTTCCCTTAATAAAAATTTGAAAAGAAAAAAAAAAGTGCACCAAGATCAACTGTGTTTCATCCCAGGGAGGCAAGGTTGCTTCAAGACACATAAATTAATAAACAGACCACATAATCCACCACATAAATAGTCTTAAGGATAAGAATCACATGCTTATCTCAATAGATTCAGAAAATCATTTGACAAAATGCAGCACCCATTTATGTTTAAAACACTAGAAAAACTAAGGACAGAGAGGACTTACTTCAACATTCTAAGGCTACATACAACAAACCTAGGGCCAATATCATACTGAATAAATAAAAAAGCATTTCTTGAAAGCATTTCCTCTATAACCAGGACCAAGATAAGGATGCCTACTCTTACCACTCCACTGTAGTCCTTGAAACTCAAGACAGAGAAATTAGGCAAGTGAAGGAAATTAAGGAGATATTAATAGGAAAGGAGAAGTCTTTGTTTGCTGATGACATGATTCTAAATTTAGAAGACTGCAAAAACTTCACCAGATTTCTTGAGCTGGTAAACAAATTTAGTAAAACAGCAGGATATAAGATCAACATATATAAATTAATCACTTGCCTATACTACAACAGTGAATCTGCTGGAAAAAAAATTAGGAAATCTATCCCATTCACAATAACCTCAAAAAACATAAAATAAAATACTTGGGAATTAAGCCAATGAAAGATGCGAAGGACCTCTACAATGAAAACTATAAAACACTCAAGAAAGGAATGGAAGAACTTAGAAGATGCAATGACCTCTCATGTTCTTGAATGGGCAGGCTTAATATTTTCAAAATGACCATACTACCAAAAGTATTATACAGATTCAACGCAATCCTCATCAAAATACATTCTTCACTGAAGTAGAAAAAGCAGTTCTAAAATTCATTAGGAAAAATAAGAAACTCAGAATAGCCAAAGCAATCCTAAGCAAAAAAAAAAGCAATGTTGGAGGCATCACAATATCAGACCTCAAACTATACTACAGAGCTACAGTAACAAAAACAGCACTGTACTGGCACCAAAACACACATAAAAACCAATGGAGCAGAATAGAAGATACAGAGACAAACCCACATAAATACAATTAACTGATGCTAGACAAAGGTGCCAAAAACACACGAGAGAAATGATAACCTTTTTAACAAATGGTGCTAAGAAAACTGGTTATCCATATGCAGAAGAATGAAACTTAAATCCCATCTCTCACCCAAAATTCAACTAAAAGCAGTTCAAAGACCCAAGAATTAGACCAGAAACTTTGCAATTGCTAGAAAAAAATGTAGGCCCACTGAGTTCCTTAACAAGATTCCTAAAGCACAAGGAAAAAAAACAAAAACAAAACAAGAATCAATAAGTGGGATGGCGTCAAATCAAAAAGCTTCTGCACAGCAAAGAGAACAATTAAGAGTGTGAAGAGAGAGCCTACAGAATGAGAGAAGATCTTTGCCACCTGCTCCTCAGATATGGCATGATTATCCAGAATATAAGAGCTCAAAAGCTTAACACCAAAAAAACCCCCAAATATCCCAATTAATAAATGGACAAAATAACTAAACAGACATTTCTCAGAGGAAGAAATGAAAAAATGTTCAACATCTCTAGGTAAATGCAAATCAAAACTACATTGAGATTTGATCTCATTCCAGTCAGAATGGCAATGCTCAAGAATACAAATAGTAATAAGTGTTAGCAAATACGCTGGGAGAGAAGTACATTTGTACATTGTTAGTGGGACTGTAAATTAGTGCGACCACTCTGGAAAAGCAGTACAGAGACTTCTCAAAAACTAGGAATAGAACTACCATATGCCCAGCTATCCCACTCCTCAATATATAACCAAAAGATTTTAAATCAGCATACTATAGGAAGACAGCCACATCAATGTTTATAGCAACACAGTTCACAAAAGCCAAACTATGGAAGCAAACTAGGTGCCTTTCAATAGATGAATGGAGAAAGAAAATGTGTTATGTAAACACAATGGAGCATTACTTAACTAGAAAAAAAGAATGAAATTATGGCATTTGCTGGTAAAAGGATGGAAGTGGAGACTATCATGCTAAGTGAAATAAGCCATATCCCAAAAGTCAAAGGTCTAATATATTCTCTGATATGCCAAAGCTAATCCAAAATAAGGGGGAATAAAGAAAGAGAAGGAAAAAAGGGGAAGGAATTCCATCAAAAATAGAAGAAAGGTTAGTAACTAGATGAAAGGGATTAAGATGGAGGGAGAGACAGAATAAGGGAAGAATAGTGGAATAAATCTGACCTAATTTTCTTATATACATATATGAATATACCACAGTGAATCTCACCATTATGTATACCCATAAGACACTAATTGAACAAAAAACCTATAAGTAAATAGCAGAAGAATCAGTAAAATAGAGGGAAAGAAAAAGGTGAAGGAGAGAGAAAGGAGAAGTACTGGGGACTGAATTATAGCAAATTATATTCCATGCTTTTATAATTATTTCAAAATTAATCCTAATGTGATATATAACTAAAAAGAAACAATTGTTAAAAGGAAGAAAAAGTTGGGTGAAATGATCTACACAAAAAAACTATAATTTCCTGGTTTAAAATATTATATAAACAACCCCGAATCTTATCATTTAATTCGTCTAAATTGATGGAAAGTAAAACTTCCACCTTTCTTTCTGTATTCAACTTAACCTTAAATAGAGAAATTCCCTGAGAGACTTCTTAATGTTGTATGTTTGATAAAGCTATAAACTCTCTATCAAATATATATAAACCTGAATTTACAACCCTTTTCTCGTTATATTTGAAAAGATTGTTTAAATATTCTCAAAAACAATATTTTTTATTAGAAATTTCCATACTTGAATTTCAGTCTATCAATACTTGGTAGTGAAAACCAGAGGAAATAAATTAATTATTTACCTCCAAGTCATCATCCGGGATGGCTCTTCTCCACTTTATGTTCCACCTGATGTGTTCATAGGCATTGACCACCACTTCAATTGCTTTGGGACAAGAATGGCAAGCCTGTATCACCTGCAGGGGAAGCACAGTTTCATTGTTCAATGCACACATATGATTCATGCATTCTGCTCACAGAGACATCAAGAATTCATAGCTCATGGCTGGTTGCAGTAACGTGCATGTGTAGTCCCAGCTACTTGGAAGGCTGAGGCAGGAGGATCCCTTGAGCCCAGGAGTTTAAAATCAAGCCAGGAGAAAGAAAGAAAGGTGCAGGGGAGGAAGGGAAGTGATTAACAGATTCCAGTCCTGCTAGGCTCCTTGGAGAACTTAATTTCTTTGATATGTCTCATGGTAGATAGGGCTATTAATAAAAGCAAACTACCTTCCTCTACCATCTTCAGTGAAAACGAGGTGCTAATAAAGCAGCTAGGATCCTGAAGAATTTACTTGCCCTGCCCATGACTGAAGCAATCTTGAGAGAGAGATTCTCAGAATATTCTTCCTGCTGCCTGGGAAACTCTCCTAGGTCTACAGAAAATTTTGTTCTCAAAAATCCGAAAGTCATTAATTCAAGGACCGAAGCTCACTGATGATCATGAGATAAAGCAAACGTCAGAGTACCATGCGAGTTGACCAAAGGTATCTCTGAGTACATGCCTGAAGAGGATTAATGTCACACACTAAACCACACTCACTGGTTACTATGGTATTTTAACTTTCATGAACAAATAAAAGATGATATGAACCTTAGTTATTTCATTAGCACCCTGTTCAACAGTTCATTGGCCAACCAGAACACAGGAAAGTTGATTCTAGGTGGCTGACATGTCCCATAGAAGAAAGAATAATTTCATTTTAGATTTTAGACCAAACTGTATATTTATTCAGTTCACTTAACAGATGTTTGATGTGGCCGTAAGGTTTGTATCTATCTCAACCATAGTCAAGTACATTATAATGGTAAAGATATATAAAAAAAATACCCCCAAAATAAAATACATTGGTTCCTAGTGAGACACTGATCATAAGGATGAGAGAAAAAACCAATGGAGTCAATTAGTTGGCCCATGTATGTAAGTGTTACTTTACATGGTTTTTAAAAATAGGAACTAAAGAAGTTCTAAGGAGAACTGTTTGGATTGTGGGCAGTTAGGAAAGATTTCTTGGAGGAGTTGAATTCAACTTGCAGCTGTGTTCCACCTGATGCGTTCATAGGAATTGACTACAACTTCAGTTGCTTTGGTGTGTGTCAAAGAGAAGTCTAAGGTGTGTGTGCACCCACCTTGCTTGCACAGAATCTACAAATATAGCTCTCCTGCTGAAACAGAGGTACCTCAAAACCTGCAACGAACAACAGTTTTATCCAACAGCTTTCTTCTTTCTCTTTTTCCTGATTATACAAAGTTACTCTCTAACTCCTGGCATGATAACCTCAACAGGAGCCACACCTGTTTCTAGTTCATTTTTAATAATAAAAATCCCTCCAGTCATTCTAGATATAAGAACAATGTCATTTCAGTAATTAAAATGTTCATTAACTGAACAATTGGAACTGCAATTTTTATTTCTAGGGTCCTCTCTCCTATAGCCCAGTCTTACTTCAAGCTGTAAAACTCCTGTGGAAATGGAGGTTTTGAGGGTAGGATGTAGTAGGAATACTGGTTTTTTGCCCCCTGCTTCCTGGTACACAGCTCTTTTTAGGTCTTTGGAATTTCCAGAGTTAAAGAAGAATCTTTGGTTACATGCAACAAGCCCCATTGGTAAGGAAAGAACAAGCTTTGACTTTTTGATTTTTGGCATGTTTGTTTTGTTTTCAGCACTTCTCCTACCAACCACAACCTCCAGGGAGGGGAGAACTGGAGGTCAAGTTCAATCACCAATGGCCAATCATTTAATCAATCATGACTATGTAATGAAACTTCAGTAAAAACTCCTGTTCAGGCCAGGTGTTTTGGCACACACCTTTAATTCCAGCCAACTCAGGAAACTGAGGCCAGGTGACCCCAAGTTCAAGGCCACTTAGTGAGACCCCAGGCAACTTAGCAAGACCCTGTCTCAAAATAAAATTTTAAAGAGAGGTTGGAAATGTAGCTCAGTAGTTGAGCAACCCTGATTTCAATATCCCATACCACAAACACACATGCCCGCACCTCCTAAATCACCACACCTCTTCAATCAGAGTTTCTGGGAAGGTGAGTACATTCAAGGGCTGGAAGGTGATGTGCCTGTGGAAAACAGTAGCTCTTCTCTGCCTCCATATTTAGCCCTATTGTTCTTCTTTTTTTTTTTTCCTTTTTGTAAATTTTAATTTGTTATGACAGCAGAATGCATTACACATATAGAGCACAATTTTTCATATATCTGGTTGTACAGCATGAAACAAAACTCAACTCAAAGTGGATCAAGGACCTAGGAATTAAACCAGAGACACTGTGTCTATTAGAAGAAAAAGTAGGCCCAAATCTCCATCATGTCAGATTAAGCCCCAACTTCCTTAATAAGACTCCTAGAGTGCAAGAATTAATATCAAGAATCAATAAATGGGATGGATTTAAACTAAAAAGCTTCTTCTCAGCCAAAGAAACAATCAGCAAGTTCTTTGTGGGCACATACGTGGGCACATGTTTTCATTTAAAACCTACCCAACAAATGGGCCGCCATGGGAAGTGACCCATCACCAGTGAAGGTGCTTCTGACTCCCGATGAAAACACTTCTCTCTCCTATGCCACTGGACAAGCAGCTCTAGTCACAAACTTGCTCCTTTCACTTCCTTAATCATGAGTCACATATCAGTCCTATTTTCCCCCTTGAAGAGAGAGACCGTAAATTAAGCTCTCTCAGGAATCCTCCTCAGACACCTCTCACTGGTGTGAGAAAAGGAGAAGGCGCTTAGGCCTCCACCATTAGAAGAAAGTCATGCCTCTGCATGTCAATGACTCTGGAAAGAAATTTTCTTCCTAATTTCCTGGTCTGTTTCAACCCCTTAACTTCATATTTTTGAGAAAAAGATCACAAAACTAGTTTTTTTCCCACTTCCTTTACTAGTTCTTCCTAGATCATCCAGCATCACATTTTTCAAGGTAGAGTAGTGAGTACCTAATGTCTTAGAGTCTCATGAAAAATTATAACAGAAAGATTATTATTTTAATGCCCAGTTTAGTTAGTAAGTGTGAGTGTGTGTGTGTGTGTGTGAGTGTGTGTGTGTATGGTGGTAAGCTCAAACAGGAAAGAGTCAGAGCTAAGAGCAGGTACAACAAAGGCAGCTGACACTGGAGAGCCAATGTGAAGACCTTGGGAAGGGTTAGAGCCAATCTATTCCTGCTATTAGGAGGCCTTTACTGAGTACTTGGTTTGATACTATGACAATAATTCTGAGAAGTTTATGACCTGTTTTTTGTTTTTTGGGTTTTTTTTGTTTTGTTTTGTTTTGTCATGTCTTCAAGGAGTTTACAACCTAGCTGAGGAGAAAAGACAGATATTTCAAAGAGTTAGAGAGCAATCTAAGTCAGTAAATAATAAAAGAACTAACTCAAAGATCATCAAGTGTCCCCTGAGCACCATGAGCAAAAGCACAAAGGAGAAAACAAGCACATCAAGGGCAGCGAGCAGGGAGAGGCTGGAGGGGGCTGGGAGCAGCTGTTCAGCTCACATCAGGGTTAGCCCTGGAAATGGAGAGCAGGAAGCCACGGGAAAGAGTCTGCGTGGCCTCGTAATAATCAGATATGGGCAGTAGAGAATACAATGTGAAAGCCTAAGGTCAGGAACAAATAGGGCGCCCCTGACAGACATGAGAAACCTGGAAGGGCATAGGAATTTGGGCATTGAACAGATAAAGAGCAGGAGGATATTTCATCTGTAATGTCTTAATGTTCACCAAAAATGTGCACAAAGATGGCTCTAACCAGAAGGCCAAGGTGGAGAGAGAGGAGCTTTGTGTACCCCCAAAGCATGTGCTGGCTAAAGCTGGGATGCTGAGCAAACTCTAAGTGTATATAAATGGAAAAGATCGAGGACCAGCTTCAGAAATCCTAATAAGAGGAGGGAAGATGGAAACTTGAATGGTAGCTACCACAATTCAAGGACTTCCTATGTACCAAGTAAGGACTGTGTTGCATCTCTACAGTTTAGCTTGCTGTAACCTTGCAAGTTTAAAAACACAGGTAGAGAAAATTGACACTCCAGGTCACTTAATCAGTAAAGGGTAGAGCCAGGATTCAAATGCAGTTCTGCACAACTCCAAAGTGAAAAGAGAACTAGACATATCAGGGTAAAAGATGCCAAGTGAACGGAGTGTTCAGACCTGAGTTGTCACTGGGGTTGTGAAAACCCCAGAGATAAAGTCAGATTAAATATTAACAGATTTTATTAGAAGGCCAAGTTACCAGGAGTAAGGCAAACAGAAATAGGAAAGGACCAGATTGTGCGATAGAGGATGGGTGGACACTTGTAACTGGGGCTGATCCACCCTCATCTTTAAGACCTCTCACTTCAGAGTGTAAGGTTCTAGAACCCTAATAAATAACTTGCCCTTCTGAATTAAGAACTCATTAAAAATGAAATGAAGATGACAAACAATTGGAGACAGGGCTGCCGCCTTTAATACTGATGAAACTGACAACATGTTATATGTTGAGTTGTGGGGCCACACAAAGCTTGACTAACTCTATCCCCAAATTAATTTTATTCCCCAAAAGTAAATCTGTCTCTTCCCTAGAAGCAGAACTCGTGCCTGGAAGTTTGCCACTCAGAAAAAGAGAACAGTCAGACATCCTCTAGGTCCAAGGTATATTGAGGAAACTCACTTCCTCCTCTCCACTGGTCAGTCTGTTAATTGGAATGAAAAGATCAGGACAGAAGCTGTTGGGGGGTTACTGACCAGAATTTTCCTTATAAAAATTTGAGACAAAGGAAAGGGCTGTTCTCTAAATAATACATCAAAACTTAGCTTCAGTGGGAATCAGGAACAAGAAGATACGATGAGAGGATCATCAGAAGGGGATATTACCCCCCAAAAAAAATTTTTTTAAAGAATTTTCTGCATCTAACACGTCTGTATATGCCCATCCCTTCC